CATACCTCATGCATAAAGGGTGAGGCAAAGACAACGTCTAATATGAAGACAAGTAGGAATAGAGGGAAAAGCATTGGACTCCACTCATCATCTCGATGATGTTAAGCGGGATGCTAAAGGATATTTTTGAATTTAAATAAACACATTTTTTTAATCCCTTATATTTTAAGTTGATCATCTAGTTTTTATTTTTATAAAATCTCCACTTTCAATCTTGAACTTTACTTAATAACATACATTTTCATATTTCTTTATAAAGACAAATAATAAAAAGTTAATAATTTTTATAAAATTAAATAATAAAGTGAAAATTTTATAAATTGGAGATATAAAATACTTGACACTTTTTTTTAATTATTCGATTGATTTAACATATATAGATAATATTTTACATTGAATTTGAATCTTTTGCAAGTGGACTCCTAACCAACCACTGATGCACTTGGAGATGGCCATTAGGATGAAATTTAAGGTAAATTATGTATATTTATTTTAATTATAATTACCTAATAATTAATCAAGTAATTACATCATATGTTATATGTAAATGTTTTGACTAATTTCTTTTTGTATGACATATTTTGATATCATTAATTGTGATGATGGTAGGCATATCAACAAAGTGTTTAAGGAGAGAAGTTCTAAAGGCCATTTTGATATCCAATCAAGGACTAACATGATTGGATAAAAAAATTGGCATTGTCTTCTTGTTCTTTTAGCATGTGAGATCTTTTAAAAAGTTTTTGTGCAAAACATGATAACTATGTTTTAACTAGAGGTGGAACAATTCACTCCCTTACTTGGTGGTCCCTTGCAATGGAGTGATACAAAGAAATTTATTTATTTACTTCACTCTAATGGAATGTGTTTTTAAAATATTTTGATTATTGTAGGTTTGAGAATGAGTGGTCATTGAATCTTAGATGAATTGCTCTTAGCCACCCACACAAACAAGTTTGGTACTTGAAGAGATGAGTGAAGCATATTTATTTAAACAATATTGTTATATCATTAATATCTAAAATAAAATAAGTTTATCATTTTACAATTCTATTGTCACCATATACAATATCATGATGAATAATAAGAAATGTTGTCTCGGGTTGGTAAGATCTTCATAGAAGGAGTCATGGTTACCTACTTCTACTAGTTGAGCATCTTAATAATTCGTTAAGACCAAGTTAGTGCACTAGGAGGCCATCACAACTCATTAGGAAGCCATTTCAACTAGCTTATCAATCTCTAGAATAAACTAAGTCTCTACATGAATTATAGAAGTGATGATGGTGAAAATTCATACTCTTAAGCGTTAATTAAGTAATACCTTTTATGTGTGTTATGCTCAGTGACAACATCCTTATGATATGAACATATTATTTATATCAAATTATTTATTTCAATAAATTGAGAAATTTTAATTTATGTTTGTCTAAAAGAACATAAAGATGTTCTTATAATATTAAATATAAATTTATACAATATCAAATAAATGATTTGATTATGAGCTATTACTTTTTTTTCTTTAAAATATCTTTAGACAAGTATTAATATTTAAGACAATATTACATTGAGACAAATGTATAAATGAACTGACGAACATGTTTTATGAATCGTGAATATGAGACACCAAGTCCTTAAATAAATATAAATTAGAAATAATAATATATGTGGTTTTTTACCTAATTTGACCGTAATTTTTATTATATAATGAACTCTAAATTTTAATTTTATCAAACATTACCAATAATAATATTATTATAAAGTTGGAAGTTAGATAAAGACTAAATTATGTGAAAGAATGTGGGTGATGTAGATATTTTTTCTATTTTGAGCGTGAGTTTTTCTATCTTTCTTATTTAACAACTATAATATTAATGTCCAAACTCTATATATTTATAAAATTTATGATCATGCTAAATAAAATAAATATGAAATATTTATTTTAAAAAAACTACTCAAGTATCTAAGAAATAAAGTCTTATATTAAATTATATATATGGACAAATGAATTATACATATATCTAGATGCTAGTCATTATTCATCATATTAAATATAAATAGTTATACTTAATATTATAAACTAAATTAAAAGAATCTAGAATTACACACAAAGAATAAAACAACTAAAAAAGTTAGATTCCAGCTAAATTAGAATTATAGTCTAATTAAGTTGTAATTAGATGTGATCTCATTCTTTCCATTACAATTGTTAGCATAAAAATGGTAGAAGGCTTCGAATAGACTTTTCATATGAATTGTTTGTATTTATCTAAAGAGACATAATTATCTCATAATTAGGTAACCTTATATCAATATATTGTATGTGTATATATGCTTAGAAATGCATATCTTATATGGACATTTGAAAATCATTCTATTCTACTACTATTATTATGTACTCAATTTTTGATAGGATAAACTCTACTTATCTTTCTACCATTGACAATGACCATGATTTATTTTTTATGTAATTTTTATATTTTCATTTTTAAATTAGTCATTTAGAATTTTTATTTATTGAATATCTTTTATTATAATTTTTATTTAGGTTGATACTTTTTATTTACATTGACTTAGCAAGTAAAAAAAATGGAATTAAAAACAAATTTTTTTTAACATAAACTTAGCCGACCGTTATCATGTTGGATTGACTTAAATGAAATAAATTTGTGTTAATTGTTTTTTAGCTTATGCTAAATATTAGTTTTATGTTATTTAGGACTCGTTTAATAATTAAAATTAGAAGATAATATATGATATAGTTTATTTAATTCTAGATTGATTTTGATATTGTTCAACAATAAGATATGGTAACTTATCGTTTTGAGTTATTATTATATATCTTATTCTCATGATTCAAATTTTTATCATGAGAAGAGTTGTAAGTTAGAAAACAATAGAATAATATAACTTTTACTTATTATATACTATCTTAATTTACATCAAATTTAAGGTAAATTTTCCTTATCAAATTTTATCTTTATCTAATTCTTTATTTTATATATTTTTTTAATTCATATTCACCTAACAAGCCCTTAACATCAACCATGATATGTACGGATGCTACGAGTGTTTGATTTTGCCATGTTAGCATCGTATTTAGTCAACATTAATGAATATTGGAGTAATTTAAACTTATTTAGAGTATGTTTATTTTCTATTTTGAAAAGATTTTTTAATTTTTAAAAAGTTTATACTACATTTTATTTTTAAAAACTAAAAACTCTTTTCAAAATAGAAAACAAACATATTCTTAGTCATTAAGCATCTGTTTTATTCCCTAGCTAGTTATAAAAAGTTAATACATCTTTAAAAAACCATAAAAATCGATAAACAGAGTGGATTAAATCAATTATTTAACACTGGATAGTTAATAAATTATATATCGAATATTATGCATTCTAAATATTGTTGGGTCAACATATTAAAACTATAGAAAAAATATCTACAACCGTGTCTATGTCTATAAGAAGAATACTTAATCAGCTCCCAACTTTTGGTAGGTGAAGAAATAAACCCGAAGCTTTAAAACTATTTTAATATTTTAAATAAATTAGACATTGATTCATAAAAAGATGATTAATAATTGAGATGAATACTTTTTTTATTAAATAAACTATGATTAAATTAAATTTTTAAAACATTTTTAACAAACACACAAATATATTAACAATATATTTGACCCATTTATTATAATTTAATTCAAAAATCATCTTAACTATCCATTTTACACTGCTAATGGCATAGATATAAGGCATTAACACTTATTTTCAAAATTTAACCTAGTTAAAATATTTAATATTTTTAAAACATTTTTAATTTAAAATAATTTTTTTAACTATAATCTAAAAAACACCAATAAAAAAGGAGCCATTAACAATAATTTCTTGGCGATTACTAATAAAATCCAATTTACCAACTACATAGGTCGTAATTTATTATAAACAAAATATGAAAAAGCAAAACTATGAGAAAATAATTATATTGTAGTTAAATAATTAATATTATTAAGAAAAATTTAAGCATATATTAAAAATAAAGACTCTATATATGTATCACTAATTAGTAGATTAACTATTAAATACCTATAGTATTAGTAAATTGAGACCTTAATATATATTTGAGGGCCATAGTTAGATAATTTGTATGTTTTAATCTTAAAAATTTCAAATCCTAACGAAAGCTTCAAGTTGCTAAGCCATTTGCCAACAAGGCCATCAATGCTCATTACCTTGATTGTAATACAACCGAATGTTGCCTGAAATCTCCAGCAGAACACAGCGAAAGGTTTAAGAAACATTACCCATCATTTGTGGCTTTGGATTCCTTGTTTCTTTTGGCTTCATATTGGTCATTTCTAGTTCAGTTTTCCATTTCCTACATTTCAATAACTTTGCTTGAAGATTGTAGTCGTTTGGCTGTTTTCTCAAGCTTGCAAGTATTTCCCAATTTCTGTATGTTTTAAGAAACTTTTTTATTTCTTTAATACAAATATTTACACACAAAATCATGAATACTACAGACTGTCATTAATTCACTTTCCTTTTTCTGATGCCTAAGGGAAATATCAGCTGTCTAATTCTATTTGAATTGATTTAATTATAGAAGAAACCCAAATAAAATAAAATTTTAAAATCAAATAAATTCATGTAGTATACTTTAAACAATAATTATTTTTAAATCAAATAGAATCACAGATCATTTCTTTCCTGGTGCCAGTTTACAAACATCTTCATCTTCCTCCTGTTTGTAAACACTGCTTCAAAGGTACAAGAGTTTCTCTTCATTGTGCGTGAATGTTCAAACATTAAGAGTATGGTTTAGTTTATAATATTTTAACCATATACGTTGCTCCCTAGTTTTTCTTTTAATTATATTTCTGTATCTCCTTGATAATGTTTTATGAAAGGACATAGAATTTCATAAAAAGTTAAAAACTAGGTTCTCTGAACGTTGACTATGCTGAATTGATTCTTATTGTGACAGTGGATTTGTGAGTCATGGTTATTTCTGATGAAAGTGGGGTACCAAGAATGAAGGTATGTTAAATTTTTCCTTTTCTTTTCATCCTTGGCTTTTATATTCTGCATACAATAACTCTATACAAGTTACAACCACTGCAAGCAGGGAAATTTTCGAGCAAAGTTCATATGTTTCATTTTTGGACTCGGGTCCCTTGCTGGACTGAACAGCTTGTGGACGATGGGCGATTACTACTACAAATTGTTCCCTGTAAGAACCTAACAATTTCAGCAGTTTCAGGAGAACCAAAAATTATTTAATAGATTCTATCAATCTTTATTGACCATGTGAAATTGTAAAATGAATATAACAGTATTAAGTCTTCCAACTAGTTTTTTTTTTTTTTTTTGACATTTGTAAATCACTTTCAAAATTTAATTTGTAGAAGTGATTATATCTTTCACAAATTAAACTTCAAAAATAATTTGTAAATCGTTTCTAGAATAAGTTATATATCTTAAAAAAATAGTAGTGATTTATAAATGATTTTCAAAATTTAATTTCTCAGATATATTAAAAACACTTTCGAAAATTATTTTGGAAGTGTCAAAAAGGAAATGTTACGGATAGGAAAAATGAGTACTGCAAAGAGTAATATGCACGAGTTACAAATTGTACTAGATATGTTATACTTTGCAGCAACCTCTTGAAATCTTGTTACATATTTTTTCTTATGTGTACGTGAAATAATATCACATAATCATGAAGTATAACTCTAACATAAGTTTTTGCTGCTCTGAAGAGATACCATCCTTTGAGAGTATTTACTCTCATTTATCAACCATTTGCACTAGTAATTACGATTATACTGGTTCACTATGAGTCAAGGATCAACACAAGGATGCGGAACTTGACTGGATACACACTTTTCTTCACTGGCTCTTTGATAGTTCTTATTGTAAGTACAAGGTTTCCAATTATGATTATTTTGCTTCACATAAAGATAAAAGATGTGGTTTTCTGATTTTCCATTCGAAGCTCCATTTCACCCTTATCACTTGAGCTTACATATAAGGTATTATGCTATTGGCATAGTGTAATAGCTTCAGAATATTTGGTGTGGCAGTTGGATATAGCAACATCGGGAAAGGGGGGAATTGGGTGTTACATTGGTTTGTGTGCACTCTCTGCATGTTTTGGAATTGCGCATTCTCATGTCCAAGGTGGCATGGCTGGAGACCTATCTTTGATGTGTGCTGACTTCATCCAGGTTGCTATTTCTTATAACTTCTTTATTTTCATCCATTTTAATTATTTTTTTTTAAACTTCATCCATACTTTTCATTAGAAGCACCGATGGAAAAAAATAAATGATATAACTTTTGATTCGATAAAAAGGGACAGAGAGAATTTTAAAGAAAATTATTAAATTTTTTTTTGTAGTAAATAATATTTCAAAAATTTAGTTTTAAATCAAAGTAAAAAATATTTGTAATTCATATAACCAATATCACTTAATAAGACTTTTTTGTTGTTATTTTTATTTTTAATATTAGAAAAAAATATTGTATATATATTTGCATGCCATGCACTTATTGACTTAAAATAGACTAAATTAGTGTATTGACTCTTTAATTCTTAGTTTTTTTAATTTAATTATTTAACTTATTTTTAATCTTATTTTGTTTCTTAAACTTACAAAAGTATTTTAAATAATTTTTTTAAAATGTTAATGTCATTAAAAATTATTATTCATTTTCTTCCTTCTTGTAAATTCCAACAAAAATACATTATATTTTAATAGATGTTTTACTGTTTTATTTTCTTTTCTCTTTTCCTTTTCTTCTTTTTTTTTTTTTTAACTTTCCTTTCATTATTGTTTTCATAATTCATTTTCCTTTCCTATGATGAGACTCTAACAAAATTGTTCTCTTTTTCTCTCTTCTTATTCTTTCCTTTTATTCATACCTCCTAGACGTGTTTCTCCTTCTTTGAACTCTAAAAAAAAAAACATTTTCTTTTTGTGATACATGTCTCTCATGACTTTCTTCTTTTTGCTCCTTTTTTTTTCTTTTTTTTTCCTTCTCTTACTTCTATGCCTCAACAACCCATTTTCTCCCTACAAACTCTGAAGAAAAATAATAGAAAATATTTCCGTTGATATTTTGGTTGAGTCGTGTTTTACAGACCTGTATAATGAAGGGAAATACAAGAATTTACTATGCCCATTAAAAACCTAGATCACGGTTGGTTTGCAATGTGTAGGAAATGAGATTCATTAGACTTTAGATTGTTTCTTGATAATTTTGCTGTATATTTGCAAATTTGTTTTTCTAATGTTATTTGGTAGAAGATATACAAACCTTTTCTGAGTTTTGGGTAGTGGTTCAATGGATATGATGGTAATGAAGAGTACTTAATGAACCTATAGGTTTACTCTTGAACGAAGGAATAAAAAAATACAGATCACTTGTGCCATTTTTAGAATAATTTTTTTAACAAAATTAATATTTTTATGAAAATAATAATAATTTAAAACACTTTTGTAAGTTAAAGAAACATAATAAAAATAAAAGTTAGAAAATCAAACTGAAAAAAAAATAAATTAAGAGTTAAAGTATCAATCTATTAATTTAACCTTTAAAGTAAGATATTCCTCTTATTTAAATATTTATAAATTTTGCCTATTATTTCTTTTCCTTTCCTTTTTTTCTAGATAAATAACACTTTATCCCTTCGTAGTTTTATATTTTCTTATACTATATTAACATTTTTCTTTATACTTTACCTCTTACAAGGAAGTTTATTTATTAAAAAAAGTACTGAGAAGTACTCTGAGAAAATGTAAAACTACATAGAAATAAAGTGTAATATACGTTTTTTTTCCCAATCTTTGGGGATGAGAAAGTGATAATAGTCATCTTTTAGTTTATGTGAGTAGTGACCTAATCATATTGATTTAATGTTCTGCAGTCCTTTCTTGCTGGAATAACTGCAGCAGGAGCTCTAGCCTCTGTTTTGAGACTTGTCACCAAAGCTAGTTTTGAGAAATCTGATAATGGTCTTCGCAAAGGGGCTTGTATGTTAATCTATATTCACTAAAGCACGTATATATTAGTTTTACTCATATGCTTGTCTTTTGTTCTAGATTTCTAGTGCACATATTCACATAAAGATCAGTGTCCCTCACAAATTTGCATGTTTCTTTATCTGAAACCGCAATTGCGGCCGCAATATCAAGGCTTTTAGGGTCATTGGAATTGTATTGCAATTGTGATCACATCAGTTCACAAGGTTTTAGAAGTTATGTTCATTACTTTAGTTCCTCACTTTGCAGTGCTATCCTTTGCAATCTCTACATTCTTCCAGTTTCTATGCATTATCCTGTATGCAATCTACTTCCCTAAGTTGTCCATAGTAAAATACTACCGTTCAAAAGCAGCCTTAGAAGGATCAAAAACTGTTTCAGCAGATCTTGCTGCAGCCGGCATTCAGAACATGACAAGCCAACAAGTAATGTAGCTTAAGTCAAAATAAATATAATTTATATGTTAAGCTAAAAAATGTACTATTCCATATGCTAAAAGGCTTTGTACTTTATGCATAGGTTGGATTTGAGGCTAATCAACAAGAAAGACTAAGCAATAAGCAACTATTTATTCAGAATCTTGATTATGCCGCCGACTTGTTTCTAATACATGTGTTAACCTTGTCCATTGTACCTGGATTCTTGTATGAAGATACAGGATCACACAAGTTAGGAACATGGTAAGCATTTAATATGTTATTGAATATTTTGATACACGAAGCAAGTGCATTTGAATATGATACATTTGGTGAATCTGATTAGGTACCAACTTGTTTTGATAACAATGTACAACATATTTCATCTAATATCCACATATATTCCCCTTATCAAATGCCTGAAGTTGGAATCCAGGAAGAGATTGCTCATTGCAACTCTTTCAAGATTCTTGCTGATCCCTGCATTTTACTTCACAGCCAAATATGGTGGCCAGGGATGGATGATCCTTCTTGTGTCTTTCTTGGGACTAACCAATGGCTACCTCACTGTTTGTATTTATACCGTGGCACCTATAGGTTACAAGGTCAGTAAATATTCTCACACTCTTTTTCAAAAAACTGGAGTCATATTATATCTTTCTACATTAATTATTTTATTTTAATATTTCATATATAAGAAAAGTGAATGTATTTAATAGTTTAAAATACGTCGACTTTCTTCGGATTCCATTTAAACATGCATGAAATAAAGCGAAAAGAAACAAATATTATGTTAATAAATAGGAGTAGTAAGAAGATATTGATCGACGGACTTAACATTATTAAAAGAAAATATTGAATAGTTTTAATGCTTTTAAAGTATTAACTATATGTATCAAATTTGTGGTGTTCATGGTTTTGTAGGGTCCTGAACAGAATGCATTGGGTAATTTGCTTTCGTTGGGGCTTATGAGTGGCATATTTGCTGGGGTTGCCCTTGATTGGTTGTGGCTCATTGGAAATTCAGAAAATTTCTAAAAGGAAATAATTGTTGTATTTAGTTATAAGCACAATATATAATTATAAAATGCAAATTACCCTCTCAAATTACAGGGGTTAAATAAAAAGCTATGGCTTAAGACACTTCAAAGTGACTCCTCAAACCCAAACATTTGAAACACACTTTCAGTCACTGCTGTGTTTAAGTTACTAACAAAAATCATATTGCACATAACATGATTTGTTTGAATTAAAAAAAATTATTTTATCAATTTATTTCTAAACACTTTATATAAAACAACATAAATTATAAAATCATATTAGTAAACTTAGAATTGTTTTATAGTATATTAAAAAAATGTTGAGTTAAAAAGATAAAACTGTTAATTTATTTAAATTTGAAAATAATTAATTAAAATCAATAAACTTAAAGTTTCATGTTAGAATAATGGTAGATGAAATTTTATTTTTATCACGTTATTATTCATTCTCTCACTTAATCTATCAAGTTTAATGATAACACTATCTTTTTTTTATTAAAAACAATGAATTAAATAGAGAAATTAGTACTTACTATTTATGCAAATAATTAAATTAACCCTTTCATATATATCTTTTTTTTTTATTTTTTTACATACTTTTCATGTTAAACATGTGTTTAATTGTCTTTCAATGAAAAATTAAAGTGTATTAAATTGTGATGCATTTTAACTTTTTAAAAGAAGTGGTTATATATGTTAAATCTTTTTTTAAAGATAAATATAAAGGAAATGGATGATATCATTTTGATTTTGCTTCATATATGTTTTAAACAGAAATATTTTATGCTATATTTTTTTAAATATAAAATACATTTAAATCAGAAGATAAGGAAAATGAACAAAATAGAAGAAAAAAAGAATGAGAGTAGATAAAGGTGAAGAGAATAAAAGAGTAATAAAATTAAAGTATGTTTAGAGTTTTAATTGTGTGAATTTTAATTGTCATTTAAAAAAATTAAAGGTAAAATTATAATAAAATTATATTATTTAATATTTTTTTTAGAATGCAAGATCAATACAATTGTTAATTATCTTATCTAATTTTCATAATTATGCATATCAAATTTCACATAATTTAGAAATTGTAGATATGTTATTCAAAATTTAATATTTTCTTATATTTTAAAAATATATCGCATGTTATAATAAAGTAACATGTTGAAATACTTATTAATTTTTTCTTATAAAATTTTATAAGTTGATTTATTTTATAAGAACTTTTAAACCAATTTGAATTAGTTAATATTGCATTCTATGAAGAATTATTAAATAGTGTAAGTATCTAAGTTTGATATCTAGTATCAACAAATTTTGACTTTTATATATAAAAAAAGAAAGAGTTAGAATTCCTTAATATTAAGTGTCAAACATGTATAGTCACATATTTAATATTTTTTATAAAATATAAATTAAGTAGTTCAATCATTAATTTAAAAATTCTAATTAAGTACATCAATTTTATAAGATTTCATGAGAAAAATAAAATCATTAAATAATTTATTGCATTATTTTATTTCTAAGAATAATATATTTTTAAAGTATAAATAAATATCAAATTTAGATACCATATTTATAAATATTAAATTTATATGAATTTTTTTTATTAGAAGGGGCTTAACAAAACCAATAAAAAAAACAACAAATAAACTAAGTCAAAATAAACCCAATTTAACTATGATTATCCTGAAAAGTAAGGGAGTTAGACTTGCAAGAAGAAGCAAGAAAGAAGTAAAAATTGAGTCACATGTCGTACCATATAGCACTATTTGCTGACATATAATTATACTAAATTACAACTTAGAAAACACAAAATTTAAGAAATCATCTCGATTTCATATGAAACCTCACTCTCTGTCCTTTCGAATAAAACAGCTACAAGTTATGCTAATATATAATTACCAACTTTGGCTCCTAGAAGCTAAGAGTTGTATTGCCCATGTATGTTCTTCACAGTGAGCCTAATACAGAACCATAGACAAAATTTTTTAAGTTATTTCTCAACTACTTTGACGTGGTGCATATTTTGATGAATTGATGCCATTTAAAATAGCACCTATACACGTTTCTGATCCTGTTCCTGATTGCTTAAAAAACACAGGTCAATCACTTCTAGACGCTGAACCAAACCTGCCGTCAATCTTCTGGTTTATACTTTATAAAGTAGTTGAACAATATAATACCAAAGTCACAAATTAAGAAAGTGCAATAATTGAACAGCCCTGCTTATGAAATTTTCTACAATTTAAATTGCAACGTCCTGCAAGAATACCAGCAACAAAATTATATATAAAAATAAACAAATAAAAAGATAAAATAAACAATCGAATATTTTTTTATTATTTACAATTTTTAAAAAAAGATTCATTTAACTTATTCAGAAAATAAGGTGATTAACTTGAGGAATTTTAATTCACTTTATTTATCCTTCTTCATCCCTATAATATTGATAATGGAACTTATTCGTTTATCATGTAATGTTAAAATTGTGTCTGTCTCTCTTAGTTGAGAACGAAACAAGTGGGGTATGTTTAATATTTATATATATATATATATAGATGAAAAATTTTAACATAACCTATAATGTATAAAGGACTTGGGAGAGGATCCATTCCTTCACCCAACATGTACTCTTTGAGAAATGTTGGGCAAAGGGACATATATATATATATATATCACCTTCACTCACATAAACGAAATGAATGCCTTCTGATCACAGGTTAGGTCCTTCAACATCCTTCAAGATATTCACAATTATCTCCTAGTGCTCTCCTTCCTCTCCTGAAAAGTTGAACAAAATCCATAGAAAAAATAACATATATATAGTATTTAAAAATAAATTAATAGTAGTCTTGAAAACTTTTCTTCCAATATCAACTGTTTCATCGACTGGGCTATATCAATGGACTTATTACAATAATTCAATTATTTTAATATGCATTGATCTCTGCTTACAATAAGAAATAAAAGGAGCACAAAAAATCAAACACATGGCATCATTCAAATGTACCTACAAGACTCAAAAGTTGCAAAAGAGCTCTTTAGTGAAGCAGTAGATATATTAACTGAGTGGAAGAACAGCTTTCAAGACTACAATTAATTTATTATCAAACACTTTTCTCTCTGTGGATTTCTGTTACTTTGTGAGTGAAGCAGAAGAGAACAAGGAAACAATCGTAAGTCTATTAAAATACACCAAAAGCACCTTTTTGGATAAGGAGAGGTTAAGCTATAGGAAAAAGTAGTAAAGTGATTCCAGATCATTTGAGTTTTGGGATCAAGTGTTTGGGCAGAAGATTGAATCTTAATAGTGAAAGGTGTAGTAAGTAGTAGTGCTTTACAAATTGAAAAGATGGGATAGGGTGTGTGCTATTCTCAGGAGCTACTCCAATTTATAAAGATTGATTAAAAGGTTAAAAATAAAATAAAAGATAAGGTGAGACACATTTCAGCAACCATGGAAATGATGAGAAGTTCCCTTTTTTTATATACATACTTCGTTAGAGGCGATAGGAGATACTGATCACTGATAAATCTGCATCTAGAATCCAATGGGTTTGGTCTTAGCTGTTGACTATTATACTCTCTCTAGAATCCAATGGTTTTGGTGTTAGCTGTTAACTATTATACTCTTTCCATCATTTTTATAACAAACAAGAATGAAAATCCTTATTATAAAAAATAAATGATAAATTTAAGCTGCATTAATTATTAATTTTTTTTTATACTTTTCTTTTATTAATATCATTAAATATATAAATTACTAACTACACTATTTAATATTATGGATATTTTTGAAATAAAAGTTATATTAATAAAAAATATAACTGATTTAATTACTTTTTTTATCAAATAATTTAATTTTTTATTTCTTATAAAAAGGATCGAAGAAGTAACATCTAACTCTTTTTTTATTCTTCATCTATTTTTTTATCTTACAAAAAATAATAGTTAATCATAGCAAAATAATAATAATAATAACAATAGTCAATGTTTTCAATTACACAGATATTTTAAATTAAAATTAAAAATTAAAAATATATATTTTTATTTCTAATTTGATAATTAAAATATAAATATAAATATTGAAAATTTGAAACTTTTGAAATTTAAAATTTAAATTGAAATTGGATAAATATTATTGTATAAAAATTATTAATTTTTTTGTGAAAAAACTAAATAAAGACATTAAAAAAGTAGAATTTTACTACGACGAAAAGATATGCAAAATGAGAAAGTGATGACTCATTTACTGTTAGTAATGTTTATAAAATATTTCTATTCAACTCAACAATGAATAATTTTTTACTTTCTGATTTTATTTATACTTTTTTTTAAAGAAATAAAATTAAAAATAATTTACTTCTATGTATAATTTTTGAGTTATAAGTCTTCGGCAATTATATTTTATGAGTCATGCATCCTAAATGAGAATATTTTAATATGTTAGTTTTCTTCTTTCTTTAATTATTTATATCTTAATTTAAATTTATATAATTTATTTTTCAATTTTAAAATTTCTCTCTTTAATTTATTATTATTTGATATAATAAGATATTTATTACTTCAATTATTACGATTATTTGTTCCCGCGCCATGAGTTTTAGTCAAATTGTCGGTTTATTTATTTTTTAATATTTGCTTAAAAATAAATTATTGAAAAATATTTTAAAATATTATTTATATTTTTTTTTTATCTATCCCAGCATAAGTTTTGTACGTACCTACATAAGTAAGATTTATTTTTTATTTATCTTTTTAAAGAGTTTTATATATTAGAAAAGCAAAACTTAAAAATCATGACACAAAATTTTTTGTCTAAAAACATGCAAAACTTGATTTAAAAAAATGCAAAACGAAAATTAAAGATAGATGGTTTATCGTCTTTTTTTTCTTTAATATTTATAAACTTGAGAATATTATATACTCTTTTTAAATTGATAGTTGTAATTTTTTAATTTAAAAATTAATATTTAATTTTTTAACTAAATTATTAATTTT